TTTATTGGTACTGAATGTGGCTCTAGAGAAGCAGAACTTGAAGGATGAGTGTCTGAATTGCTTCTCTGGTCTGGCTAAGTTTAAAGCCACCAGTGACTGTTGCCATGGGTAAATAGGATCCCAGTAGCCAAGGATAAATAATGGCAAAACAGTTATTTAGTTATGTATGACCTGTAGTTACACAGAGTGAAGGGTTTATAGGAAGCAAAGCTCTGGATGATCAAGAAAATGTTGCAGTAGAACATTTAAATATAAACGAAGGCTTCTGGTGTTGATTGGCTTCTTCCAAGTTCACCGGAGGGCTTAGAAAAGGAATATACTGAGATTAGGACTTAAACTCCCAGCTCAAGGTCCAGATAGAGAACAAGAGTTTCTGTGACATCTCTAACATAAGTCTTTATCTATTATAACCTCAGCTTAAAATTTTTGAAAATCAGACCCAAAATTTAATCCTTCTAGTGGCTGATTTACAACACAAAATAAATTCACAGCCTTGTGGAGTCTCCCACGGTGAAATTAGGACATTGAAGGGGAAGGCCATCAATGGGAACACTGAAAATTAGTTTGGGGACATATGAGAAGATTTCGATGAAGCTGAGAATCTTAAACCCCAAAATTCTGCTAAGCATCCTTTGCCTGTAGAAATAGTCTTTCCTCCCATGTCTGAAAAATTTAATTTACCTTGCCTGAAGAATTTTTAAGGACCTCTCCAGAAGTAACTATCCTGTATGGAAGCACTGATCATCTGCAGGACTCACCTTACCCACCTTTCATTGCTAGATCTCTAAACAGACTCCAGTTCGGGCAGGCCCCAGGGGTCAGGTACCACTGTGATCCATGAGAAGGTATTAATATCATACATATCAAAAAGATTGCAAGATTTTGAAAATATTTTAAAAACAGTTTTGTAATTTATTTTATTTTACCTTATTACTTTTTTCAGTTTTTGAGGTGTGTGTGTGTTTGAGACAGGATCTCACTCTGTCACCCTGATAAGAGTGCAATGGCATCATCATAGCTCGCTGCAACCTCAAATCACTGGGCTGAAGTTATCTTCCTGCCTCAACCTCTCAATTAACTGGGGCCACAGGCACATGCCACCATACCAGGCTGATTTTCCTATTTTTGTAGAGACATGATCTTGCTTAGGCTGGTCTCGAACTCCTGGCCTCAAGCAATCCTCCCTCCTCAGTCTCTGAAAACGCTAGGTTTATAGGCATAAGCTACCACACCTAGCCTCTTATTTTTTATTTTTAACTTAAAAATATTTAGTTGACACATAAAGATTAAATATATTCAAGGTGTGCAATGCCGCGAGGTGCTATATGCATATATATTACAATGATTATCACTATCAAATCAATGAACATATCCATCACAACCCATGTTGTACATTAGATTCCCAGAACTTGTTCATCTTATAACTGCAAGTTTATACCTGTTGAACAACATGTCCCCATTTCCCCCACCTACCAACCCTTGGCAACCACTGCTCTACTCTCTTTTTCTATGAGTTCATAATATTTTGACAATTTTATTTTTTAAAAAATCTGAGGAATATATATGGGAATTGTCAGATCAGGGTAAAATTATTGATATGGGTTGAGATCATACTGACAAGAGATTCTGTATTCAGTGTTTTAGCTTGAGTGGCTGGGAGTGGCTCTAACAGTTGGTTTTGATGGTTGTATCTGTGCAGAAGACAGATGGGTCTTGAAAAATGAAAATGTAATGGTGACATCAATCGCAGCAGCTGTTTCAGACATGGTTTCTTTATTGGAGCACATCAACATATCACCTAGGACCATGTGCAGCTATTGATTTGGCAAATGCTCTTTCCCCCTCTATATCTGCTAGTGAAAACCACCAGAAGCATATTATCATTTCGACAAACATTCTATGCAGCACTCAGTTACTATTATGTTATTCCATGTTTTTAACACTTACATTTTATTTTATGAAGAATAAGGAAGAGGACAAGGAGGAGGAGAAAAAGAAGAGCTCCGAGCCAAGGTCATAGGGAGGGAAGCAAGGTAATTTTTTTTTAAAAAAATCTATTAATGTGATTTTCTTTTTCACTCTTCCTTGTATGTTATATTCCTCCTGTACATCTAGAGCCTTAATAAAATTTAAAACATTATGGATTTGTAGAGAAAGAACTCAATACCTGCTTTATGAAAGGTTCCAACTTCTTTTTTTTTTTTTTTAAGAGACAAGATCTCACTTTGGTGCCCAGGCTGGAGTGCATGGCATGATCATAGCTCACTGCAGCCTTGAACTCCTGGGCTCAAGCGATCCTCCCACCTCAGCCTCCTGAGTTGCTGGGATTACAGATGTGCACCACCATACCTGGCCAGGTTCCTACCTTTCAAGGGAAGAAACTTATCTAGAACTAGGGGTGGGGGAAAAAGAAGAAGGGAGGAAGAGAGAAAGAGGAAGGAAGGAAGGAAGAAGGAAGAAGAAGGAAGGAAGGAAGGAAAGAAAAGAAGAAAGGAAAGAAAGGAAAGGAAAGGAAGGAAAGGAAAGGAAAGGAAAGGAAAGGAAAGGAAAGGAAAGGAAAGGAAAGGAAAGGAAGGGCATTATGGTCTGATGTAAGTGTCCTGGTACCCTTTTAATTACAGCTATACCGCATTGGAGAGGGAACAGCGGATATTAAGGATGGTAGAAACACCCAGAAAAGGGTAGAAAAATTCAAGCCAGGAGAGCTCCTCATATAATAAAACTATAGGAAGTAGTGTTCAGAAGTAAGTGGAGAGGCTGAGGCCACAAATAAAATGTGTTATTTGTTGCAAGTACTGGGAATTGGAACTGGGTGACAACATGACTTGGTTTTAAAAAATAGCATCTAAATCCCTATCTTGTCTCTATCATTAACATGATTTGTAACCTCGGACAAGTGACTGTTACTTTCCTGGAAAGTACTTTTCTTATCAGTACCATCACCATGCTAGATTATTTCTTGGCCCTCCCAGCTCTAACATTCATTCATTTATTCAGTAACTCATTCACCAAAGATCTGTCGAGCACTTGCAGCACGCCAGGCACTATGCTTGGCACTAGGGATAAAATAATGTATAAGAAGGAATCTCTACTGTCAAGGAGATATAGTCTAATGAAGGTGACATACATTTTTTAAATGTACAGTATAACAGAGATGCTAAAAGTTATAAGCATGGTACAAGTTAGAGAACAGATTTGTGATCTACACCTAGTCTCAGATGTAACTCTGAGTTACATTATCTCTTTTGTACTCAGAGATATCTATTACTCAGGAATAATTGGAAGACAAAGTATTCAGATCTGACAATAAATCTTTTGCTGGGCGAGGTGGCGTGTACCTGTAGTCTCAGCTACTCAGGAGGCTGAACCAAGAGGATCGCTTGAGCCCAGGAGTTCAAATCCAGCCTCAGCAACATAGTGAGACCCAGTCTCCAAAAATAAATAAATAAATAAATAAAAATATTGTTATAGTTTTTGGAGAAAGATAAATTATATCATTAGTGAGCTGGTAATAATAATGGTATAAAAAGCCTTCATCTGTAGGATTGACCAATTGCTGTGGTATAAAATACTCCCACCAGGGCTAAATTCAAGCCGCCAATGTGACATCCCCACACATGGAATTGGGAAGAAATGCACACATGGGTCCCATGAGCTGATAGGAGGCAGCCCCCGAACAGCACTGCTTCTACGAGTCCTCCTCCTAATTGCAACCCAGGCTTCTCAGCCATCTCCCAAGGAGGGGCCAAGGAAGATCAGATCAGACTTCAGGCAGCCAAAGACATTTTCTTTTGTGTTCTTGGACATTGATCTGTTTGGGGAACACTTCACATATGTGTCAGGACATGGGAAATCTTGAAGAAGAGGGGATGGAGCACCAGAACCCCCTTCTTTCTCGTCTGGGAGTGGCTGGTCTGTTTGAGTCGCTGCTTGCAGTCACAACATTATAGAGAGAGACACAGCTTCCCCTGAAAGAGTTTCTATGGCAACCTCCCCAGCAGGCAAAGAACCGCACTCTAAGCTTCAGCTGGAAGGTTGGGAGATAAAAATAAATTCTGATGAATCCAGGACCCATGTATGACTGAGACTCAGGAATTACCTGAAATCATGAAACCAGTCAGGGGGAAATTTGCATAGTTCCCTTTCCTTTCTTAAGAGAAATAAAACCTACAAACCAATGCACTGACGCTTTCTCTTTATCATTATGGCTCCCTGAAAAGCACAACTCTTTCTGTGAGGCTGGATCTTGCTGGTAGCTTTTCTCTCTGAATTTCTCATTGCCTGGACATCATATCGCAAAAGAGTCTGTGGGCTCAGAGTTGACATGGTCCAATAGGAAAACAGGGAACACAATTCATGTTTCAGGGTTGATTGTCACAACCCAGAGACCTGAACCGTGTCCCCCTGTCTATATCAGTCAGTGAAACCTCTGTTATTCTTAAGTTTCTTACCTTAAAAAAAAAAAAAAACACCTTCCCTGACTATCTTACAAGTGAACGGTGAGGCTCAAAGGAGGTCATAGATTTGGAACGTTTTGAAAAAAAGAGAAAAGCTTCTATGCAAATGTAGGTTGTCATGATGACTATTATTAATAAGCCTTGGGCATAGGTGAGGGAGGGAGGAAGTGAAGGAAAAAGCAGAGCTCTTGCTCTCTGAGCCAGGCAAGAGCTGCAGTTCTCCGTTAGCAAGGGATTGATTCATTCATTCCCACACAACCCCTGCTCACAGGCTGAATATCCATCCCTGCTGTACCCGCAGTGTAGACTCGCCCTGTGTTCTCATTCCAGAATGATTTCCTTCTTCTCTCTCTCTACCCCCCACAGAGATCTTCTCTTCCTCCCACTTCAACTCCCTAAACCTGATTTGCATCAGCCCGTCTGTCTGCTCCTGCTATTTTCTCTGTGTTTGAATGTCAGTGAACACACAGCCGCTTCTACTTAAAACCTGTAGCCCACTTCTTTGTTTAACGCATATTATTTTTCTCTTTGTAGGTTCCAGGGCTCTGTTCTCTGTAGCTGTTGCCTCCCTTTTGGGCTTTCATTCCACACCCACATCTGTCTTCAGTACAGGGAAGAGGTTCTTACAGTCATTAAAGCAGCCTAAGAGGTCTTTAAAATTTGGCAGAGGTAGAGGTAGGTCATTTTTAAAACTTATTTTTATTTAGTTTCCCTGTTTTTTGTGTTTTTTTTTGAACTTTTTATTTTGAAACAATTAATAGGCTCTCAGGGAGCTGCAAAAATAGTACAAATAGTCCTATGCGTTCTTCTTCTAGCTTCCAACGGTGATATCTTATCTAGCTGTAGCACAATATCAAAAAACAACATTGGTACATTGGTGTTAACTAGACCACAGATCTTATTCAGCTTTCACCATTTTTAAAAACTGCATTAATTTATATGTTTGTGTGTGTACAGTTCTATGCCACTTTTCCATGTATTATATATAGTTACATAATCACCTCTCTAATTAAGATCCAGAGACCTATCATTCTAAAAGAATACCCTCATGCTACATCTTTGTATGAATGCCAACACTCACCTCACTCCACCAATTGTTAAGCTGTTCTCTATCTCTATATTTTTTTCATTTTTAGGATGTTCTATTAATGGTATCATGCAGTATGTAACGTTTTGAGATCGACGTGTTTCAGTAAGTTCATTCCTATTCTTATTGATGGGTAGTAGTCCATTGAAGGGATATACCAGAGTTTGTTCTACCATTCACTCAAATGTTACCAGCATTTTGTTATAAATAAACAAAGCTGCTATGAACATTTGTATACACATTTTGCTTTTTATGAGGCCTGTCACTTCAGAATGTAGACGAGTTTTTGTATGAGCTTAAGTTTTCATTTCTCTGGGATAAATGTCCAAATGCCCAAGAGTAAAATTGTTGGGTCATTTGGTAACTGCCTGTTTAGTTTCATAGGGAATGGGCAAACTGTTTCCCAGAATGGCTATAACATTTTATACTTTCACCAGCAATTTGAGTGATTGTTTCTCTACATCCTTGCCAGCTTTTGGTGTTGTCACTGTTTCTTATTTTAGTTTTCTAAAAAGGTGTGCAGCATATCTCATTGTGGTTTTAATTTGCTAAAGCTAATGATATTGAACAACTTTTCATATGTTTATTTGCCATTTACATCTTTTTGTTGAAGTATCTGGTCATGTCTTCTACACATTTCATTATTGTTCTATTTTTTTTATGTTGATTTTTTAGGGTTCTTTATATAACCTAGATACAAGGCCTTTGTCAGATACATGGTTTACACATATTTTCTCCCAGTCTGTAGCCTGTCTTTTCATCCTTCTAACAAGGTCTCTCACAGGCCAACAGGTCTTAATTCTGACTAGGTCCAATTTATCAGTTTTTCTTTTATGTATTATGCTTTTGTTGTCATATCTAGCAAATCTTTGCCTGGACCACAGATTTTCTTCTATAAGTTTAATAATTTCACATTTAAATCTATGAGGCATTTTGAATTAATTTTTGTATATGGTATGGGGTTCATTATTTTTGTCTGCAGATGTCCAATGATTTCATTACCCTTTGTTGAAAAGACTATCCTTCCTGCATCAAATTATTTTCGCCCCTGTCAAAAATCAATTGAGCAATGCCGGGCGTGGTGGCTCACGCCTGTAATCCTAGCACTCTGGGAGGCTGAGGCGGGCGGATTGCTCGAGGTCAGGAGTTCGAAACCAGCCTGAGCAAGAGCGAGATCCCGTCTCTACTATAAATAGAAATAAATTAATTGGCCAACTAATATATATATATATATATATATAAATTAGCCGGGCATGGTGGCGCATGCCTGTAGTCCCAGCTACTTGGGAGGCTGAGGCAGAAGGATTGCTTGAGCCAGGAGATTGAGGTTGCTGTGAGCTAGGCTGACGACATGGCACTCACTCTAGCCTAGGCAACAAAGCGAGACTCTGTCTCAAAAAAAAAAAAAAAAAATCAATTGAGCATATATTTGTTGGTCTATTTCCAGATGCTATATTCTGTTCCATTGATCTATGTGTCTATTCTTCCCTCAACACCACATTATCTTGATTACTGTATCTACATAATAAGTCTTAGCATCAGGTAGACTGATTCTTCCTACTTTATTTTTCTTTTATTAAAATTGTTTAAGCTATTTTATTTCCTTGCCTTTCCATATAAATTTTATAATAATGTTGTTAACATCCTTACTATACTCTATGTAGTATAGCAATATATAGTATATATACTATATATTCCAATCTTTATGTTCTTTTTGTGTGTGTGTTTTTTGCTTTTTGTTTTTTTTTTTTTTTTTACAGGGTCTTGCTTTGTTACTGAGGCTAGAGTGCAGTGGTACAATCACAGCTCACTGCATTCTTGAATTCTAGGGCTCAAGTGATCCTCCTAGCTCAGGCTCCCATGTAGCTGGGACTATAGGTATGCATCACCAGGCCCAGATAATTTAAAACTTTCTTTGTAGGGATGGGGTCTCATTGTGCTGCCCAGGCTGGTCTTGAACTCCTGGCCTCAGGTGAACCTCCAATCTCAGCTTCCCAAAGTGCTGGGATTATAGGTGTGAGCAATTGCATCTGGCCAACTCTGAATATTATATGTCTCTCCGTTTATTTGGATATTCTTTTATTTCTTTCATCAGCATTTGTGTTTTTGAGCATATAGACCTATATATGTTTTGTTAGATTTATACCTGAGTATTTCCTTTTGAAGGAGCAATTGTAAATAGTATTGCATTTGTGGTTTTTGTTTTTCAAAATTCATTTTCAAAATTCAAATTTTGTTTTTCAAATATTCATTGCTAGTATCTAGAATACGACTGATTTTTGTATGTCAATATTGTATCCTATGAACTGGCTGAACATACAGTTCTGTGAAGTTTTGTTGATTCCTTGGGATTTTCTACATAGTTAATCTTCTTCTGCAGAGTCAGACAGTTTTATTTCTTCCTTTCCAATAGGTATGGCTTTTCTTATTGCTCTGATGAGAACTTCCACTACTCAATTAAATAAGAGCAGTGAGAATGGACATCCTTGCTTAGTTCCTAACCTTAGGAGGAAAGCATTCATTAGCTATGGATTTTTATAGATGCTTTTTATTAAGTTTGAGAAGTTCCCCTCTATTCCTAATTTGCTGAGAATTTTTATCCTAAATAGATGTTGAATTTTGTCAAGTGCCTATGCTGTATAAATTGACTGATTTTCAAATATTGATGTCACTCTGTTCTTCTAGGAGCAAAAAAAGGGAAAAAAAATCAGCCCTGCTGGTTTATTCCAGCCCTTATCCCACTTGGTCGTAGTATGTATTCTTTTTATACATTGCTGAATTTGATAGGCTAGTATTTTATTTTTTAGTATTTTTGAATCTAAGTTCATGGCAAATATTAGTTTCTAGGCTTATTTATGTAATTATTTATTCAATTATTACAGTATTTGTCTGGTTTGAGGATTTGGGGAATACTGGCCTCGTAAAATGGGTTGGGAAGTGCTTTCTCCTCTTCTAGTTTCTGGTAGAAGATTGTGTAGAATTGACGATGTTAATTCTTTTCTAAATGTTTGGTAGAATTCTCCAGTGAAAATATCTTGGCCTGAAGAGTTCTCTTTAGGAAGCTTTCGAATTATGGATTCAATTTTTTTCATAGTTGTAGGACAATTCAGATTACCTATTTATATTGGGTGAAGGCTTTTAACATTTATGAAGTCCAGAATCTGAGTTGACCAGAAAGCAGGACTTGAGGCAAAAGTTTATGGGTTATTACTTGGTCGGGTGTGTAATCCCAGGGGACGGGACCAAGAGGAAAGGACGTGGGACAGGGGAGGAGGAAGAACCAGCACCAGGAGACAGTACTAAGTTGACATGAAGCAGGACTAGCTGCTGGATTTCACAGGGTTTCCATCCTAAAAATGGCTGTTTCTCAGGAAAGCTTTTCTGAGGGAGGAAGAGAGAAGAATTTATCTACTGGTGTCCATTTTCTACTGGCCAGAGTATGTCACAGGGGGTTAATTTCTCCCACACTTCTGAGTGGCTCATGTGTAAGTGCCCAACTGGTCCAATGGTGTCTCGATTTAGTGTCAGCCAGGAATCTCCTGGAAAAGGCTAAGTGGTGCCCACGCAGGCACAAGGGAAGATAGTGTCAAACTGCCCACACAACATGGTCGGTTGAGAAGAGTTTGTTGTTTCCATGAGTAGGATGGGAATAAGCATTCCATGGCCTCAGAGATGGTAAAGCTAAGAGGGTATTAAGTGCTGCAGAAGAGGTATCTGAGGTTGTCGAAAAGCAAGAGCAAAAGGTTTAAAAATAAATCAATAGAAATTGACTTATTTTTCAAGAAATCTAAAAAAAATCTTTTTGTATTTGTATTTAGTTCTCACTTGAAATGTGAGTTTGTCCTGACTTTCTCACACAATCCTCCTTCCCTCGCACAATTGACCTTCATCTTTTGTATCTAGGGATGGAGTTTATCAATCTCCCACTTCCCCCCAGAGAAAACCCCTTCCCACCTGAGACACTCCATGTTTTTCTCCATAAAGGAGTTCTGCTCCATAGATATCACACAGGGAAGTATAGATGCTTCTAGACTCATATGGATCTTTTAGAGTCTGAGGTGGCTCTAGACAAGTGTCTCTACTTTGAGTGGTCTTCCTGTCTTACACCAAAGTCAACTTGGACCATTCCCTGAAACTAAGTATTCCCATTTCCACGGTTCTCAGCATAGAAGGCCACCTTATGAATCATTGGATTATTGCTATGTTTCCAGGCAAAATAAGCCTCAACGATCCTAAGCTGATGAGTTATTAAGATTTTAAATTAAACTTTTTTTGTCTAAGTAATACATGCACGTAATTTTAAAGCAAAATACTACCACAAGCTTTATAATGATAAAAGCTCTCCCATGCCTTATCACTGTGCACTCTCAAATCCCATCCCTTTAGGGCAACCACTTTAATCCCAGCTAGCTGTTTCTTTTGATATTTTCCTCCATTATTTCAGAACACCGTGATCATACTGCTATCTCTTTATTTTACTTATTTTAGTTTTAGACATATTTATCCATTTTCTATTTCAGAAGATGAGGGTTTAGCACATTCGCACTCTGACTTTGCCTTCTCTATTCTACCACTGTGGTTCCAGAGGTGATGTTCCAGAATGTACACAAAAGTTATAGGCCGCCTGTCCGCCAGTGCATATAGAATGAAAATTGCTTTTGGGGGCTGTTTAAATCAGTAAATAGCCTAAGATGGTAGTAAATGCTCAAAATCTGGAGGCAAACTTCCTAGGTTCAAATCCTGCTTCTGCCACTTTTAGATTATTTAATGTCTTTGTAACTTTTCTGGGGATAATAATAATAGCTACCTCATAACATTTTAATGAAGGTTAATTGAGTAAATATAGGTAAAGTACTTAGCAGTGCTATAATAAGCCACATGTTTTCTATTATCATTATTTTATAATTATTAATAGGTAAGACCCTCTCGCTGAGCCAAGAGAATGTGATAATTATATTTCCTTTTTGCACCATTTTTATTTCTTCTCAAGTTAATAATTGCCTCATTTTAAAATTTGTTTACTTTTTCATGACTATACCATTAAATCTTCCCACTTTTCAAAATAACTACAAATTCCCTTCCCAATACTGTTTCCATATAGTCAGATAATCAAGTATTATTCCAGTCTCATCCTTTTTTTGTTTTCCTCCTGGATATATCACCCTGGAATCTTTTATGGTCCTTTTCTAATTTGGACTGGCTGTTCTCTAAGCCTGTAATACAGCCTCAGTCTTGAGGCTTCACTTTGCAAATCTGCAGTGTTGGAAATTTTATTCCCCAATATGTCTTCTTTCTTGGTTTAATCGAGGGCTTCTGAGTCTCTGCGCTATTGGCATTTTGGGTCAGATAATCCTCTGCTGTGGAGCATCTTCCTGTACATTGTAGTATTTTGCAGCACCCTACTAGATGCCATTAGCTGTCACTCCCCACCTTGTGACAACCAAGTCTCCAGAAATTGCCAAATGTCCCTGGAGGGCAAAATGCCCCCCCCCCCCCAGTTGGGAATTTCCAGTTTAATCCTTCATTTTAGTGAATTACATCTGACAAGAGCTTCCTGAGAAAGGTTGTATAGAATGTAAACTTTTTGAGACCTTGTATGTCTGAAATCTTCTTTATTCTAACCTTCTGTTCAATTGCTGATTTTACTGGGCATAAAACTGTAGATGGAAGTAATGCCACCCATCTGCTGGCCCAGCTTTTCGAGCTATTGCTCCACTGTCTTCTGGCTTTCAGTGTTGTTATGAAGTCTGATGCCATGTGGATTCATTTTTTTTTCTTTATTTTGGCAATTATGTTCATTATTAATTGATGCATAACGTGCTATCTATAACTTAGGGGTTTTAAACAGCAATTCTTTATTTTTTTTTTTCATGATTTTGTGGGTTGATTGGGGCTCATTTGTCTCACCTGAGGCCTCTCACGTGGCCTCCCTCTCAGTCAGAGGGCGGATGGGACTGCAGTCCCCAGCGTGGTTCACTCACAGGTCTGGTGTCTTGGCCTGCGGCTGGAAGACTGGGCCCAGCCAGGTCACTGGGGGGGCTGAGCCTTTCTTTTTCTCCATGGAGGCCCAGGGTCTCTCTCTCTTTCTCTCTCTCTCTCTCTCTCTCTCTCTCTCTTTCCTTATGACCTTTCAATGTGGTCTCTCCAGCTTAAAAAGTTTAAATGACTATCTCATTGCTAGCAATTGCTTGAGACTGGGCTTGAAACCTATGTCTTTTTCTTTTTTAATTGTAGTAAAAAACACATATCATGAAATTTACCATCTTAACTATATTTAAGTGTACAGTTCAGTTGTGTTAAGTATACTCTCAGTGTTGTGCAACAGATCTTCAGAACTTTTTATCTTGGAAAACTGAGACTCTATACACATTAAACAACTTCCAACTTCCCTCTCTCCCCAGCCCCCCAGTAATCACCAGTCTACTTTCTGCTTTTATGAATTTAGCTATGTTAGATAAGTAGACTTTGGAAGATGATTATGTTTAGATGAAATTATGCCAGTGGGATCTCAGGATTTATGTCGTTATAAGAAGAGACAACAGAGAGCTTGAACTCTCTCTCTCTCTCTCTCTTTTTTTTTAAGGTGAATAAAATGAATTTTATTAGAAAATTTTTAAATTTTATAAATTTTTCAAATTGGATTCAAGGATTTAGAACATTTAATTCATTCCATATTCCCAGCATGTGAACTCTCTTTTTTCATGGCAACTCAGGGCTTTCAAAAGAACAAAAGCAGAGCTGTGAGGTATTCCTAGGGCTTAGGCCAAACCCTGGCACAGAACTGCTCTATCTAGTTCAATTGGTTAGGGTGAATCATGAGACCAAACCAGACTCCATGTGGGAGGGGACTATACCAGGGCATGGTTACTGGGGACAGTGGCTCATCAGGATCCATCTGGGGGGACTAGCTACCAAATCTACCATGTCTTTGTTTCTCAAGCACTTTTTCCTGTTTTCTGGAGTTTTTTTTTTTTTTTAATAGCCTTCTGTTCTTATTTCATGAATGCAGTATCCTCCCTTTTCTGAGCAAATTAATTATAAATTTAATATTTTTTTGTTTTTCTTTCCTTTGACTTCCATTTCTACCGTTTTGGTTTCTGTCATCGGTTGTAAGCTTTCTTCAAGTAGCTGAAGGTCATTAGAGGCCTTTTCAAAGTGAAGCTCTGAAAAGCTGATTGGAATCTCAGAATAATTGGTGGCTTCTCAGATCATTGCCTTCCCTGTATGGGGATGGGGCAGAGAACCAGGCGTTTTATTGTGGGTATTATAAACATCACTTTTGGGATGTCTTTTTATTAGGGTTTTTTAGTTTCTCCAGAGAAAGATCTTCCAATCTTTTGCCTGGGGAGAATTTGTTTGGCAGTCAGCATTCTCAAGACCATGCAGACGAAGAGGGCCAGGTGCACGAAGTGGATTATCTGGACTTCCGTGGAATCCTCCTCACAATACAGTGCCTCTTCCCTGTCCTCCACTATACTGGTGTCCTGTCTGAAGCTCCCAAGAATTGCCAAGTTCCTTCTGCAATAGAGAAGGGGAATCATCTGGCTTCTCCTGTTGGGGGAGAGGACCTGCGGGGCTGTCTACCACACATCAACCTAATCCTCCTGTTTTCAGTCTCACCTTTCTTTCCACCTTTGTACCTGGTGCCTTTAGTTTCTTAGCCTTTTCACATATTCTTGGACACACATCAACTTGACTCTCATTGCTGCTTTCCTCTGCAAACACTTAGGTTTTAGCTTTTCTAACTCTATGAAGTCTGTTTTTATTTCTCTATTTGTATTCCAATTTTCAAAAATTTATTGGTATCTTTCATCTGTTGTTTTCTCCTGTTTTATTTGTTCTATGATCTTATAAGTTTGACTCTCCTTTTGGGGGAAGGTCAAAAGAGAGTGCAGACTAACTCATGTTTAATCCACCATATATAATTCAAAGAGTTTTTCTTTTCCTAAAGCCCCCTAAAAATGATATTTATAAATTTCCTAGGTTCAAGATCAAACAACTTCCTCAAGGGAAAATTCTAACTTCACTCTAACATGCTGTAACTTATGACCTGGTAGTTTTCAACTCTGACTGTATATAAGCATCATCTATGTAGCTCTGAAAGAGGCTGATGCCTGGACCCTACCCCAGATAAAGTTGACCAGACTCTCTGAAGTAGACATGTGCAGCAAATAATAGGTATTGCTGATGTATAGCCAGGGATGAGGATCAACAGGATGATGGTGGTGGTAGGGGGTATCTTAGTCCATTTGTGCTGCTGTAACACAATATCTGAGACTGGGTACTTTATAAAGAACAGACATTTGTTTCTCACAGTTCTGAAGGCTGGGAAGTCTGGCGAGGACTGATCTCTGCTTTCAAGATGGTGCCTTGATGCTGCATGCTATGGGAAGGAGGAATGCTGTGTCCTCACACCCCACATGGCAGAAGGCAGAAGGGCAAGCTAGCCTAATCTTGTGCAAAGCCTCTTTTATAAGGTCCTTAATCTCATTCACTAGAGGAGGAGCCTTTAAGACCTAATTAATCACTTCTTAAAGGCCCACCTCTTAAAACTATCACATTGGCAACACCTACATTTTGGAGGAGACACCTACAAGCCATAGCAGGGGGTAATGGTGGCGCTGGAGGTAGTGTCTGAACTCTGAGTGTTTGACTCCAAAGTCTGATGACCCTTGCTACATACACACACATTGTGCACACACACTTTCTCATTGGCTTCCTACGAAAGGTTGTCCTACGAAAGTCTGTTTTTATTTCTCTATTTGTATTCCAATTTTCAAAAATTTATTGGTATCTTTCATCTGTTGTTTTCTCCTGTTTTATTTGATCTATGATCTTATAAGTTTGACTCTCCTTTTGAGGGAAGGTCAGAAGAGAGTGCAGACAAACTCATGTTCAATTCTAAGACTTTTTCTTTTCCTAAAGCCCCCCAAAAATGATATTTATAAATTCCCTAGGTTCAAAGTCAAACAACTTCCTCAAGGGAAAATTCTAACTTCAATCTAACATGCTGTAGCGTATGACCTGGTAGTTTTCAACTCTGGCTGTATACAAGCATCATCTATGTAGCTCTGAAAGAGGTTGATGCCTGGACCCTACCCCAGATAAAGTTGACCTTTAGCTTTCTTTGGGGAATGAAGTATTTGGGGCTATCGCTACCTGTCAGTGATTTGCAATTTCCTATTTTTATCAGAACCACTACAGACCTCAAAAACACTAGGGGGAACACATATCTACAACCCTAATTTCAGTTACCTACCAGATAAGAAATCTCAAATCCATCTCTTCTGCTTTATTTCTGTTAGTCTGTGCTAAAGGGAGACCTCGTGGAGCAGAGATTAGCAACTGAGGTCAAGTTGTGGAAGGAAAGGAAAAATGGGATGATGTCTTAGGCTTTCTGGACTTGAGAAATTTGATCTTCCTCAATCTTTGCGGAGATGTTTTAAACAAGGTAATGCATATGAAGATTCTTTGGAAAGTGTTGTTGGGATTAAGACCCCCTGAGACTTAGGGATGCTATGTCTGAGGCTGGGAGAGGAGAGGAGGTGGAGGAATTGCCTGAGCAGAAGCCTGAAGTAAGTGCAGATGTTAACTGCCTAGTTGGGGGACATATATCGGTGATCTGGAAGTATAGCAAAGCATGCTCCAACCTCAGAGCCTAAGGGGTCTCATGCATGAAAAGCCATGGGCGGCCTGACATGAAAACTTCTCATGGCTGTAGAGGTAGATTGTAATGTGTCAGCCCGGGAGAAGGGTCTCAAGGCTTCCATAGTGTTTGAACACTGGGCCAAATTCCTTCACCTCCTCTCCTCTCACAGCCTCAGGCATAGCATCCCTAAGTCCCAGTGGTCTTAATCCCATCAAGTGTTTTTATAAACCTAGTCTAAGAAATAAAGTAATAAAATAGTAATTTCACTCTACCCTGGGACCTGATGATGGGATAGCCACAATCATGGTGTGGCTCACTGTTAAGATTTTGACATTCTTTGGCTGTTCAGTCGCAGGGTCACATCAGTTTTTTTTTTATAGTTCCCACTACTTGCATGCTTGTTTTCTCTAATTTTTAGATTTCCTAAACTAAATACATTCTTAGTAGTCTGGACTTGACATAATTTTTCTTTTTTTTTGAGGCAGGGTCTCACTTTGTTGCCCCGGATGGAGTGCAGTGGCGTCAGCCCAGCTCACAGCAACCTCAAACTCCTGGGCTCAAGGGATGCTTCTGCCTCAACCTCCCGAGTAGTTTGGATCACAGGTGCAAACCACCACACCCAGCTAATTTTTCATTCTTTTTTTGTAAAGATAAGGTCTTTCAATGTTGTTCAGGCTTGGACATGATATTTGGATATAAGGCACAAGTGTCATTAGTTTCTTTACAATTGTCGGTGTATTAGATACAATGTTTAGAAAATTAATCATCTTCAGGTCTAGAAATATTTATGATATGCATGTGTTTCCCTTGCACGAGAAACTGGTGGCTCCACTATCACCCATTGTGTAAGTTTGTGTTATGAGTGCATATTAGCAAGTATTTGTTCACTTAAGGAACAGTTACTAAACACTCTGTATATGGAACTCTTCTAGGTGATAGGAATAAAACAGTCAACAAGACACATAAAAATCTCTTCCCTTGCTTAGCTTGCATTCTAATGAGGCGTAGGTGTGTGGTTTGTGTTTGTACCAATGTTCTGGCAGGGTGCTTATTTACCTACCAACCCCAGGATCCTCGACATAACTGGCAGGCTACCAGGGTATCAGTTGAAATGAAGACCCAAGACTTTCTTAGAAAAACAGAAAAAATACTTTTGGTTGGGTTCCTCAGACACCAAGAGGTATGGTCTGAAACAAAGGAGAGAAGCTCCCCTTAACTTCTTTTATTTTATTTTTTTATTTTTTTTTTAGAGACAAGGTGTCATTCTGTGGCCCAGGTTGGAGTGCAGTGGTGCAATTATAGCTCATTGCAGCCTCAAACTCCTAGGCTCAAGCGATCCTCCGGCCTCAGCCTCCTGAGTAGCTGGTATTACAGGCATGGGCCACCATGCATGCATGGCTAATTTTTCTTTCAGAGATGGGATCTCACTATGTTGCCCATACTCCCTTAACTTCTTAAGTTATATCTACCAAATAAACTTTTTAAAAGAAACAGCAACATTCAAAAGTCAAATTCAACTTCTAAAAAATATAACCCACTCTTTGAAGTTTGCCTCATGATCGCAAATTGCTCTGTTAGGTAGTCAAAATCATGAGAGTTAACAGCACTGTAAGTGTGCTATCCCTCTGTCTTCAACATCCTGAAATCCACCTAGACACTAGTCACATCCCTCCTCAAAGACCCACAGTGGGTCTGAATGGTCTGAACAGACTGCCAGTTGTGTGACAATTCCCTTCTGGCAACCACCCACAAATGATGGTATGCAGATCCTCTTTCTAAAAGTATTTTTCTAGCCTCCTTTGAAGATGTCCAAAGGAGAACTGAGTCCTGGTCTTTGACTATTCTCTAGCCAAAGGAGAACCAAGGAAAAAGGATCTTGGCTTTCTAGTCTAGGCGGGTAGCAGGAGGCTGATGTTCTGCCCTCATCCTTTCCCCAAAACTCAAGAATCTGGGAGCAAGGCTTCCAGAAGGTGGACAGGCAAGTTATTCCATAGTATGAATGTGTGCTAATTCCTGATGTCTGCTGTCCCCTTTATAAATGAACATCTTTTTCATGATGAAACATCAGTGCAAATAAGCATTTTGTATTGCAAAGCCCACAAATGGATTTTATTGGTTTGCCATTTCCTGAGTAGCAGCTGGGCAATGCATCACACAGCACCAATTTTCTTGACTCTTCTCTCAAAAACAGAAATTATTAATCAGTCCAGGTTACTATTTACAAATCCTAGTCGAATGCTTTTAGGATTAAGCAACTTGTTATCTTCTCTACTGCGTAGATGATATATTGTCAATCTTGAAATTTCATTTAAAACTTACACCATCCTCCAAAACTGGGAATTGATATGGTAGGCAGTTCCTGTGCCCACACTGCATAAGAGGCCAGAATTAAAACATTTCTAAGCAACTAATGCATTTAATATTATTGGAATTGTGGCAGAGTGTTTTTAGCAACAACATCAGCACACCACTTCTGTATCGCACTAAATTGTCCACAACCCTTCCACCTGCCTTATCTTATTTATATTCCACTATAACTCTGAGAGATAGGTATTATTACCCCCTATTTTACAGATGAAGGAACTGAAGCTTACAAAGTTTAAATGACTACCTCATTGCTAGCAATTGCTTGAGATTGGGCTTGAAACCTATGTCTTTTTCTTTTTTAATTGTGGTAAAAAAGCACATATCATGAAATTTACCATCTTACCTATATTTAAGTGTACAGTTCAGTTGTGTTAAGTATATTCACAGTGTTGTGCAAAAGATCTTCAGAACTTTTTATCTTGGAAAACTGAGACTCTATACACATTAAACAACTTCCAACTTCCCTCTCTCCCCAGCCCCCCCAGTAATCACCAGTCTACTTTCTGCTTTTATGAATTTAGCTATGTTAGATAAGTAGACTTTGGAAGATGATTATGTTTAGATGAAATTATGCCAGTGGGATCTCAGGATTTGTGGCCTTATAAGAAGGGACAACAGAGAGCTTGAACTCTTTCTCCACCCCCACCCCCCCAACATGTATAAGAAGAGGCCATGTGAGTGCACAGCGAGAAGGCAGCCATCTGAAACCCAAGGAGAAAGCTCTTATCAGAAACCCACCATGCTGGCACCTTGATCTTGGACTTCTAGCCTCCAGAACGATGAGAAAATAAATTTCTGTTTTGAAAGCCATGCAGCCTATGATATTTTTTTTTATGGCAGACTAAGTAAGAGAAGTGGCTTGACCATTACTTTCTTCTTAAATCTTGTCCAATATCTGCTTCTACCAGCGATGGTGAATGTGGTCTGCTGTTTAGTCCCAAAGCTGCTAAGTTCTAAAGTCTTAGTGAACAAGAAAGGATCAGGATAAAAGGCTAACGTTAATAATGCAGTATCTTAGATGAATAAACACTGGACCAAGCAAAGAAGTCCCAAAGTATACAGATACAAGTCTTTGGTGTGGGGTTTGGAAATAAAGGTTTCTGAGAATTTTTAAAGGTAAATGTGGATGGATGGTTTCAATATGGTCCTGTCTGAAAATATTAATAAGAAGCCCAATCATTTTGTACATCTCTACCCAGTGAATCTCTGGTTTCTCCTTCCCACCTTTTTCCAGAACAGATTCCGTAATTGCTTCCAAAATGTGATGGGGATTTTAGGCGGCTTCGCCATATTATTGAAGTCTTTGGGTTTAGCCCTGGCCCATATTCTTGGCAAAAAATTGCTTCTGTGTTTCTTGTGTATGGAGGGAGAAAAGGGCGTTGAGAAGCTGGCTGCTCTCTGACCATCACTGGATGCTTTCCTCATTTAGACAAGCAAAGGAGGGAGGAAATATCTTGTTTCACTGGCTCATATTGATTTCCTGGTCATGCCTGATACCTGCCTGTGGACAGACTTAATGGCTGCAAATAAATGAGGCTCAGCTAGCAGAAGGGAGGCAGGAAAAATTGCCTGAAAATGCATTGTTTTGTGTGAGTCTAAGATGAAAACAAAGTGCAGCCTTTTAGGTTGCAATTTACCATGACCCAATCAGGCTTAGCACTCGGGAGAACTTAAATTATGGTCACTGGACTCCTGATGTGTAGATAAAAGGCTTAGGGTCATGTGCAGTAAGACGCAGAAACAAGATCCTGCTACTGCTATTACATGCAGTGAACTAGACATGGAAGGAATATTCCACAGAGCTGCTTTGCCATGTTTTTGGTAAGCTCAATTTGTACCCCTGTGGGCTCCTTTTAATACTAGGATGCAGGGTTTGGTGCAGATGACAATCAGGGACTGTTTAGGTTGTGTCCTGATCATCATTCTCTGTTCTCTCCCTAATGCTAGGCCTTTATTGCCTAATAAAGGTTTGTGCTACTCTACCATTATTCAGTGGGCACTACCTTGCATTTCTTTTTTCTATATTCTGTCTGCCAATGAGACTGCAAGCCCTTTGCATGCAGGGACCGGGTCTTATGCTCTCTGCACCCCTGGGACTTCTCACAGTGCCATATTCATGAGCAGGGGTAAGTACGACCTGCTTAAGACAGCAGGAAAGGACAGATAGGGCAGGCACAGATGTGGCACCAGAATCCTCATAGGAATGGGGAAGAGACTTAATGGGCAAATTTAGCTGAAGTTGCAAGGAGAAAGTCCTGTCTGAAATGCAGAACATGGCATATGATCAACAGGACAGAATGTATTATGGGGAGCTACTCAGCACAGCACTTTTCGTCAGGGAGGTCCCACAAGAGTAATGGGTGGGTGTTCCTTGGACAGAAGGAACATAGTGATGGAGAAAGTAGGAGTAAGCCGTATTCACAGACTCAGGCAGACAAAAGGCAGACTCAAGGTGTCTTCTGTGAGGTAGCCACTAATTTGGTGTCAAGCATGGGGTGCCAGTCATTGAGGATTGGAGGATGGATTGACAATAAGAAGGCAGGGTCCTCAATTCGGAAGGCCTAGCAGTAGAGAGTAGCCGTGGGAACAGAGAGTGGTTCTGGAATCAAACTCCCTGGGTCTGCATCCCATTACTAGCTGTGCTGTCCCTGGGCGTGTGCTAAACTTCTAGGTGCTTCGGTTTCTCCATTTGAGATGTGGGGATAATAATGGTGCATACCTCCTTAGGTCATGGAAATTAGATGGCATGATCCATGTGAACCAAGAAAGGACAGTGGCTGGCACATGGAAGCATTAAATAAATGTTGGGTGCTATTCTTGTTTTTTTAATTACAATTATGTCTACTATTATAAGGTTGAACCATATGAAATTGCTGATATTTGACTGTTTTTGACCCATAAAAATGGACAATTTTTTTCATGATAAACTTCACTAGCCAGGTTACCCAGAAAGATAATCAGTTATAAGGGTGAGAGTATTTTCTACCATTTACTCTGGGATGCTATTTCAGTTAATCATTTTAACAGTACAAAGCACTTATGGTTAAATCCATTTGGCAGAGGAGGAGAATAACTCTGATTAACTCAGAGAGTTTATCAGGCCTGGTCCCTGCTCAGCTGAGAACTTCTCTCCAGGTCGGACACTGGCCACTAGACA